AATAAATGTAAGTGATTGTTGTAGACTGGAAATTTGCAATGAGTGAAATTTTAAGCAGTAACAATGATCAGATCCGGGCAAAGTTTCTGCTGTGGGCATTTCAAATAAAGTTCCATAACTGGATAAATCATAGAGCATTAAAATCTGGCCTCGACTGCAGAGGTTGGCCCACACTTAATGTGAAGCATCATTAAGAATGTTCTAGAGAAGACAGCCAACACAGGCTCACTAATTTTCTCTAACAAATTGGATGCTGAGATTATCTGACATACACAGGTTCTGTCTTCTTCCTGCAACAAGGGGCAGGCAAAAACAGCAAAACAGCTCAAGGAACTGCTGGGAATATCTCTGGTCCACTCATTTCTCAGAACTACTTCAGCTTGATTTCTGGTTCTCAACAAGAAACAGAAAGAAAAACGGTAGCAAATTTATAACAGGCTTACCCATGAATTTACTGCTCTAAGTCTGAGACTCCCTGCTGCTGCAGGCTTTGTGATTTCTGGATACTAAACTTTGTGCACTTTTTGAAAAATTTCCTAATATGTTGTATGTAAAAATGTCCTAATATGTTGTATAGAACTATTTAACTATATAACTTATGCATGTGTTCCTTTATTGGCTTGGTAACCTGGCTACCTGCTCTACATGGTGCCCACCACTCACCTTTTCTGTTCCTCCTCCAGCTGAACAGACTTCTTTTGGACAGCCATGCTGAGATCCTGCTCTGTGCGCTGCTGACGCTGGGCTGAGTCCAGATGGGTCTGCAGCTGAACACACACACACACACATCACCAACCATTACTGGCATCCTGATAACACTTCACTATATGGTAGCAATAGTAGCAGTAGAAGCTGCCTAATATTTATTAAGCAACATCACTGCAGTGGAAATCTGCCAGTCCAAACTCTCTGTGGGGGACACTCAGTCAAGAATAATATTTGGAAGAATTAGGTACACTTAAATACAAGCAGAACTCTTATTCACAACACATAAAGCCCATGTTTTACTTTCAGTTATGCATGACTCCTTTACTGGTTGTTAAAATTATTCTTACATGAACAATTGGATTCAAGCTAATAAGTAAATAAATCATAAGTTAAGGTGACCTCTAGAGGACCCTAGTGGATCCTTTAGACTCTTGAATATTTATATCTAAGCAATACTGATGTATAAAGGTGGTGCTACAGACATACCAACAATCTCATTTTCTCAGTCTCTGAGGTCTTCTCTAGCACTAGCTCTTCTAGTTCCCCACACCTCTTCTTGTACTGAAGAACCTGGTATAAAACAAAATTAAGTTACACAATAACGCAAAAGAAACATATCTTTTTCATGTAACAGTTTGTGAACTGTAAGCTCCATTTCTGGTCACCTTGCTCTGCAGCTTCTGAACAAGCTGGGCTTGTCTCTGCTGGGCCTCCTGGTAGGCCTGCAGCCTTTGTCTGTAAGCTCTCTCCCTGTTCTGCAATTGCAAGGATCCTGGTGATAAACTGTCCTGATCGGAGTCCACCGCTGAATGCAGCGCCAGCATCTGATCAAGCTGGATTGAGAGGCAGAAAATGAAATTTAGCAAGTTGGACAGGATATTGCTCATTACAATACAATCCTCCCCATTCACAAGGATTTATTGCACGCAAAATATGATGGATTGCATTGTATTATGCAGGTAAAAAAGTCTATTTGATCCTGACATTATCTGTATACATCAGTGACTAATAGCTGGGCTAAAGGATGAGTTTGCATTCAGATGAATCACTGTGGGATGTGTCTGAGAAAAATGCATAGGAGCTTTGCTCATCGCATTTTTGGGGTATTCTGTGGATGCATGTTCATGCCAAAAACAACATGATTGGTAATAACTATCATCGTGATTCAGTGGCAACAACACTGATGAAATCAAATATTTACCTTTCCCCACGAGAGCAGAAACTCTACATCAGTCAACATACGACTGACTAGACAAATGCAGAGAGCCACAGCATTAATTTACTATATCAAGAGGGCTGCACAAACAGTGACTAGAACTAAAGATGAGGTGAGGGGTTGCAGTATTAATGTCAGTTTGTGAAACGTCCAAGTACAGTGTACAGTGCTGTATATTGCTATTTATGCATGTTTGGCCACGTTTGTGTGTGATATCTTCCAAATGCATCTAGATACAAGTACAAATGCATCGGTCTTTCTCATATTCTTTCCCATATCTAAAATCCAAATGTCTTGTAACCTCTCAACCTCACACAACCTTAACTCCCTCTGCACCACCCACTCTATATCCTGGTGCCAGACACCCTGTCCTCACTAACACAAACCACATGGCCCTAGAGCACTACAACACACTGCGTGCCTCCAGCTGCCCTTGCCGACTTCTCATTTAAAAAGAGAGGAAGAGAGCCCCCCTCCCCTACAACACACTCCAAACCACCATCAAATCAACCCTGCAACCCATTCGCTCCCTTCTGTACCTCATCTCTTCACTGGGTGCTTAATCTCTCTAGCAGGCTCCAAGAGAGCCAAGACAATAGTCTCACTGTTCAACACTGGACCCAGTCACTTTGCCACCATTATTAACACATTTTCAAATGCCCTCTTCAGAATTTTTCACCACAAACTACAAACGGTCATCACGCACTTGGCTCTGGACTTTTGGTGTTTGTCTCTGAGGACCTGGAGAGCACAAAAGCCTCTTGTACTGCCTGTTGTTGAGGTGACAGCTTTAGGGGCTGAGAAGGGAGAAACAACATGGGCGGAGTATTTGAAACACACAGAACTGCAGCAGCTGTGTTTAAAGGGACTCCTGGAAACAGCTGTGTGTTCATTGTTGATTATGCATCTCTCAGAACAACTATAGCAATAACACTGACTTACTAACAAGAATGTACGTAATAAATATTCCTTGAATACATGGCTATAGCACACAAGGCTTATTACAGCACATGAACACGAATGACATTTGGAGCCTTATAGAGGGGTCTAATTCTATCACAACTTTGGGGAAAGGGACCACAGTACAAGAGAGACCATGCTGTATTACAATACACCAGTGTAACTCAAAGACATATCAAAACGCAAATGACCTCACGGGCACCCCCGATACCCAAATGGTTACAGTGCGGCGCACCATACAGTATACGCAAGCACAGTGTGTGCTTACGTACTGTATACTGTATGGTGACATCTGCGATTCATCTGCCCACCTATGATGCAGGTCCTGTTTCCTGTCTGCCTCTCCACGACCCACCTAGCCCATAAGAATAATAATGGCAAAATTCCCCCAAAAAATAACTCACTCAAAGACAGTCATAAATACAAAAGGCCACATTATTTGCCATTGACTCTAGCCCGGAGCAAGCATAGTCAACACTATGCCTGAAAGTGACTCATTTGGAGGGGCTAGTACAAAATTGTGTCATATCCATCCCTGACCATCCATCACTATTGCCACTCTGTAAAAATGCACTCTGAACTGTGAGTGCAAACAGTGGTGAAAAGTAACTCAAGTACTGTACTTAAGTACAATTTTGAGGTATCTGTAATTTACTTGAGCATTTTCTTTTTGGGCCACTGCATACTTTGATTTTTTACACTGTTATACTATTCTTACTTTTACTTAACTAAGGAATCTGAGTACCTCTTCTACCACTGAGTGCAAATAATATAGGATTGTGATAAAGGCCTTTGTTTACTTCAAAGGTAGCTTGTAGAGTAGCTGAGCACTAGTAGTGCTATGGAGCAGTATTTTCACCAATGGGTTCTGGTTTTAACTGCACAATGCATGCAAACGACGACATTTATACACATCCACGAGCACCTGGCTGATCCAGATAAACAGCCCTGCTGCTGGTTTCACATTACCATAATGATCAACAAGCAACAGGCACATAGCCCCAAACAAATCTGCAATGAATGAAATTACCACAAATAATACAGAGTGAAGTTTCTAAAATTGCAAACTAAACCATCACTGAGGATAACCACAACCTCTAGTCTGGAACAAAGTGGTAACTTTTATTTTAAACTTGACTTTTTTGTGTTTTCTTATCTCTGTGTGCTGTTTTTAAAATTGAAGAACATCGCAGAACACCTACTGTCCATTGCAGGGACAGTCCAGTATCCCTAGACAGAGAAGGTCATGTATATTACACACATCAGGTCTTATATGTCTGTACTGTATGTGACAAAATGTTGATATACTGTATGCCATCAGTCTTTCACAGATGCGGCATGTGCAGTTCAACAACTGTCACAGCTGTAGTAGACTACTCCTTCTCTACTTTACCGTGCACACAGGAACCAGGTGCCCCAGCAACTCCCCGCCCTGACAAGGAGGGTTGATTTGGGTTTTTCATGCATAGGTGTAGTGTGTGGGCTTCTTGCCAGTGCCTTGCCCCTGCTCCACACACTACAGAGAGGACACTTTTTAGTAGTTGCTCCCCAGTCAGCTGTAAAGCAAGCAGGAAGCCAAGGGCTGCTCTGGATTAGCCATGCTCCATGCACGAAGCTCCCAAGAGGGTGCCATAGTAGTCTGCTGTGGAGATCTCCACCTTGACTGAATTCTCCTGCACCACCATCTACACCCTTGCTCTGCTTGCATCTTGAAATCCAATCACCTTCATCTCCAGTGCTAGGAAGGCTATTAATGTAGTATAATAGGTTAGAGATTACTAGTTACCCTGTTAAAACGTAATAAGTAATGTAACTATTTCAATTACATTACAAAGTAATGTAACTTATCACATTTATTTACTTTTAGATTAATGTTTTAAACTGGACATTAAAGTAATAACAATCTGTAGCCTACTGGGCAGACAATGAGTAAAATACAGAACTAAATTACATCTTGAACACGTATGAATAACATAGTGGGGCAGGAGGTTCTTTATTCATTATGAGTGACTGTGGCTACATTAACTTACTTGTCCTATAGATGTTCCATAAATTTGACATCAAGCATTTTCACTGTTGATAAACAAGCTTCACACTGCACAGCGATATTAGAGCCATCTCCTAATTTCTGAAGAAAAATATTGTTGATTTGACCTGGATACACGGCACCCCGCTGTGACGCTGTTGGCTTGTGGAAGCCAGGCATGGCAGACCCAGCTTGCCTAAAGTAAAGCACCTTGTAAGTTGCGTTTAAATCTGTCCCAACAGCTTTGTTGACCCACAATGTCTGGAAATATGCCAAAAGAAGACATTCCTGCATGGCAAAATTGAATTACATATTGTTCTCAATAACTGTAAGTTATTACAATTACCTTTATTTTGTAATTTAATCACATGTAAATAGTTACTGCCCAACACTGTTGCTCTCCAAGTGAGCTTGAACTCATTGTTCTTCACACCACACCCACCCAGACCAAATCGCAAAGGTTTAAGAGACCCTCTACATGTAGAAGACTGGGATTACTCACTAACTCACTGGTTTACTGGGGGCCCAGGTGTGTGCTCACTGAACACCCTTGCTATTTATGATCTGCCTCAGAGCAGAGTAACTGAGCTGAGCACCAACGAAGCCAGACTCTTTGAGTTCATGTGCTCAAGATGCAATTTATTCAAAAACAGCCTTTTTGTCATGGTATATTTTTTGTCTCCATATGGTTCCTATGGTTCATTTTCTCTTTTCTTGTTTAATCCCAAATATCAGTTTCTTTAGCCTGCTTATGTTTCTAACGTAAAAGAGTTTTTAGCCTCTTAAAAATGTGCTTTGCATTAGCGTTTTTATATTTCTTGATATTTATGATTTGTGCCGCTCCTTGTTTTGTCTCTTTTGATAAATATTTCTAACAACATCAAGGGATAATCTTGCTTTGATTCATCTGCCAGCAAGCAACAAGAGAATCACTTTCAAGGCCCTTGTGAAGGCTTTGGTGTTTGGGCCAAAGCTTGCTGCCTTGCTCATGTGGTAAATCAAAATCTAATCCATTTCACTCACCAAGTCATGATTACAATATCCTCTCACTGACCAAATATCACAACATTTGGACATCTGATAACTCACCACTTTATCTTATCTTATCTTCCAACTGGGTTTTGTGAAATGTAGTAGAAATTACCATGCTTATCTGAAGTGGTTTCTCTCCTCTCCTTGCATTGTGGATCAATACCTGTTTATCTATACTGTAACACTTTCCCTA